TAAACTGTCCTCACAACTTGGAAAAACCAATAGGAATGTCATCATGCACTTACTTAAATGGTAGTTAATAACTGATTTCTTACCTAGTTTGTCCAGACATTTGGAAGTGCCTGTATAGATCTCGTCTTTTCAAACACTTATTGGGGGAATAAGCCTTTTTAATAAATCAATTAGGAACAATATAAGGAGAAAGAAAGTAATTTTTTAAACTGTTGAAAATCTTTATCCAGTTGCAAAAAAGGAATTATAATGAATTGTAAGCACAAGTAAAATGTAGACATGAGGCCAAAAGAGAGAAAGCAATATTGCATGTAAAAATGTTAAACATTTTTGCTGTATTTAAACAAGAAATAAACAGTAAAGAATGAAGTTAAATACTGTATATGTCCCAGTATAGCCCAGTGTTGGTAGTTCTTAAGATCACCTCTTTAGAAGGTTAAGATTGTCTTTCATTTTAGATTTTTCACAGTCACAGAAACTGAATTAAGGGATCATTTTTGTTAGTTACACTATGTCACTTTGCACAACTGTTGGGTCTTGAATTTGTAAATTCTACCCTCCACAATGATGTTTGTAGCTTAAAGTAGCACATTAGCATTTTACTAAAATCAGTGTAGCAAGCTATCTGCATCAATAACCATGTCAAACATGGCAAAACAGGAAGTGTGCAGCAAACAGAAATGACTGCACTAAAAATTAAAGTCTGCAAACAATAAGTCTCACACAGGTGCACAGATCACACATTATCAATAACTCCGGACGAATTTCTGGATACTCACACTGTGAAACTGGAGAAGAGAGGACGCAGCAACTATCAGTTAAAAAAAGTTGCCTAAAGAAGCTACCTAAATGTATAATGTTACTTTTTGAGCATGAGATCTATTTCTGAGTATTAAATCTGTTACTGTTTTTCACAATACTGATGTAGTCACTTATATGATTGAAATGTTGGGATTTGAACGCATACACACTATGCACTTTAATTCTCCCTACTCCAGTCTTGCCATGTATTGTCCAGAAAATTATTTGAAAAGGGATGCGAGAATGTATTTTTAGGTCATGTAGTACATTATTCAATTTTTAATTATATTATTATTTTGGACTGTTTGTTATAGATGTTGCCATCACCAGTACAACTAGTGAAGTGGTTTAAAGTCAAAATTCATTATTGAATGTTGTGAATGTTGTCCCAAAAACCTTTTACCCTGTTTAATCTGTGTACATCTGACTTGTTTTCAGATTGTTATTAGTAAAACAAATATACTGCAAAATGAGAAACAATAGTTCAAATATTTTAAGCAATCTAGTTTTAGGGCAGATTCATGAAGTTAGTGGAATGTGCCATTTACTCAGATTTTTCCTTATTGAGCTGACAGTGGATCCTGGGTCCATCTAGCTCAGCGAGGGCCTTGTTTAATAACCTGAAATACTGTTTTACAGCTTATTCAGTACTGTTTTTTTCTGACATCTTATCCATTTCTGCCATAAAATACCAGGTGGATTCATGACTTAAATTCCCGTTCTGGGAAAGGGGATTTTTTTAATTTTCAAAGTTAGGGTGAAGATTGTTCCAAGACTAATTTGTGTGGTTTTGTTTGCATCACATAATTGGTTCCACATTTGCCTACTGCAGTCAGTGTTGTCAATTGCAGTTCCTTTTGAGATGCTTTACCTCATGGGAAAGTTCAACAAGCTCAGACTTCGTGCAGATTTATTAGTTATGTACTTTTCCATAGATTGTCTAAGTCTTAATTATGGAGCTGCTATTGAAAATTTATAATGAGATCAAACTCTTATGTCAGCACTTGAGTTAATATAAAAGTGTGATGTAAGCCTAACATTAAAAATATTATTGTTCAATAAAAGAACCAGAAACCATATTAGTGGATTGGACTTTATGGAGCACCAGAATTCTTGGTCTGTATAAACGTATTTCATCTGTTGTGGTTTTAAAGTACTGTAAAACAACGTTCCAGGAGATGCTATTGGATTTTGAAAACTTGTAACTGAGACAAACTGGTAACCCTTTTGATGTCATGTTGTTGTGGATATTTGTCTGGAATATTTATCATAAGCACTATGACAAGTCAGCAAGCTACAGTACAGCAAAGTGAAAAATCGAAAAACTTACTTAAAGCTGCCCCCCCATTGCAGTCAGTTAATATTTTAATACTGTACCTCTACAATTCATTATGGCTAGTTCTACACCACCTTTGGACACCACAGAAATATGTGGCAAAATGTGAATATTCTGGCACATTTCTTGTTTCCAAGCTTGCTCTAGCTCTGTCAAGTTGGTTGATGATCCTTTATGGACAGCAGTTTTCAAGGTTGGCCACAGCCTTTATATTTAACTCATGTCATGGCTTTAACTGAGCCACTTGAGGACATTTGGTTTCTTGTTAAGCCACTCCAGTGTAGCTTCAGCTTTGAAAAGAAGGTCATTGTCCTGCTAAAAGCTGACTTTTCATCCCAGTTTTAGATCTTTAAAAGACTGAAGCATATATGCATCAATGATTTGCCTATACTTTACTTAATCTATCATATTCTCAAGCTTCCCAGTCCCTGCTGACTAGAAAGAGTTCTAAAGGAGGCTGACAGCATTATGCAGTACACACCCCCTCCGCTGTGAATTTGCACTTCTCCCATCTGGGAGATGTCTCTCTGCCCCAAGGTGTAACAGGAATAGACAAAGGAATTTTTGTTATCCCCTCTGCAATTTCATTCTAAATAATTTAATTATTTTATCTCCTGAAATTCTCCTGAACTGTTAGTTGATGATATTCACTTTTGTTGTATTGTTTTGCTGGGCATAGTTTTGCTGCAAAACAAATTTTCTCCAGAGGATAATAAAACTTCAGTTGAATTGAATGAAATTGAATTAATAATGCACTATGTTGGGCCAAATGTAATGCTTTGTATTTAGACTACAAAGTTCCAATTTTATCTCATATGACCGCAAAACCTTTTGCCAAATTTACTTTGTGCTTAAAACGCTTTAATGCTTTGTTGCAAACTGCATATGGAATTTGAGATGGGAATGCCAATCTGCCATGGAGGCCAACAATGTGGAATGACTGGGATATTGTTGACTCAACTTTTTCGCCCATCTCATTTACTTTTTCAAAGTTGCTATTGGCCTCATGGGTGGCATCTCTAAGCAGCTGCTTTTTTTGGACACAGCCTGATCTACGCAGTATCTGGTTGGTATGATACACCTTCCACTCCTTATCAATCTACTTCCCTATAGCCAGTATCTTTTATTTTTTATATCATTCTCCTGATGTGTACCTTTTAAGAGTTTTAACTTTAATTTTTCATAAATTGTTTTTGTACCTCCTTGGTTTCATGGTTGAAACTTTGCTTGAAATTCAATACATGACTGAAGGACCTTACAGGGACAGTTATATTTTATCTGAAATCTTGTTCACCACTATTATTGGACAGAGGACATTCAGCTGATTGTGTGATGTGTCAATTAAATTTAGGCATCTAAACTCATTTAGGTTGATCATAGCAATGCAGGTGAATTACTTATGCAATTCAATAAAATGGAACGTCATTGGAAAAGAGAGAAAATGTTTGCAAGTCACTGTATATTCATTATGAGCACTAGCAGTTTACCCAAACCCCCCACCTTTTTATCTGCAGCTTTATTTGGTTGAGACTAAACCAACATACATTTGGCAGGGCACAGTCTTTGATTCATATTGCTCAGAATCTTCAAAAACCTGATGAGAACAACTCACGTTTAATTATAAATTATGAGCAGCCAAGTTTTGTAACAGCTAATTGTCACATTTACTAGTCAGGTTGAATAGACCCATTTTAATGAGTTTCTCATCTTTTGTATCTTCTTTTTGTATCATAAAATAACAGGATAAAAAAGGTTTTGAGTACCTTGAAAAAACAATTAGATTTGAAATATGGGTGTTGGTATGTGTGGGGGGTGGGATGTTCATGGTGTTGAGAAATCCTACAGTTTATGTAATTTAAAATTTGACAATAGCAAGAGCCAGGACCTTAATCAGAACACTGAGATTAAATTTGTTGAAGAGCAAACAATGCTTTCATTGTATTTACTCCAACACAATTGATATTTTTTCCAATTAATAGCAACATAATTTTAACTTAATGTTTATAAGCATTACTGTATGTCTTCATATGCAAGGGTCTTAATTGGTGATAAAGTCACTTCCTAATCCAAAAATAAGCTCTGAATGTCCAACAAGCTATGTTGAAGTCGTCAGCAATAACTCTTTTGTTGTTTAGTTTGGTAGGTGCACTAGGAGTATATTGAAAAGGGCTTCAAACCAAATTGAAACCCCTTTCCTCCACTTTTCATTATTTTCCTAAACAGAAGTAATCACTGATGAACCAGTTCTTCACTAACATGCAGTGAAAGCTGCAATGTGTGTAGTATAAGAGGGTCAGCAGATGTGAAAGCAGGACCAGATTAATGAGCACAGATGACATTTTCTTACTCCATGTAACAGCAGGCACACCTCTCCTTCAGTAAAATCATGTAGTGAATGTAAAAAATAGTTAACTGCACAAAGCAATGCAGAGCTGATGCAGAGTTAATCCAGTTAAAGCAAAACCAAAAAACACAGAATCTGCATTGTTTTCACTTTGTTTCTGTAAGTGGTCTTTAATTAGATTAATTATTTCATCTTGAAATGCTCCTTTACCAAGCAATTCATTTCAAACAATTCGTCCCACATTTACAGGTTTAAAAATCATTGGGATGATTAATTTTGACATATAGGTTTTGCTATTTTAAGGTTGAAAACATCTAAGTAAATGAATGACTAAGTGATTAACATATTCAATTGTGCGATATTCATCTTAGATACTGTATATTATTATATTTGTTTACTGTTGGCTTTGACATAAAATTAATGTTGAAAACCCAACATAACACAGTTGGCTGCTCTGAGATTTCATGCTTCCCCACACACATGCTGAGTATACATGGGATTTCTGTCTTCTCTATGCAGAGCTCCAGAGATTATCCTTGGCCTGCCATTCTGTGAAGCGATCGATATGTGGTCACTAGGATGTGTCATCGCAGAGCTGTTTCTAGGATGGCCATTATACCCTGGGGCATCGGAGTATGATCAAGTAAGTTTTTAAAATACGTTGTGTTGTTTTTTTGTGAACACATTTCTATTTCCATTTCTTATATTTCAGAAACATAACCATAGCAAGTCAATACAAGAACAAAACGTTTCTCCACCCAACATAATTCCGTTATCTCCAGTGGTACCCCACCAACGAAGAAATTACAGAAAATAACATCAATTTTTTATAACATTATAATTGGTTTAAAGGCTTGTATTCAATCTATGATTAAAAAAGGTGAAAATCAACAAGTTATCATCCAGTTAATAATTACTAATGATAAAGTAATACTTATAGGGTTTGGACAAAATAATAGAAATGTCTAATGAAAAAGGAATTTAGAAATAACTAAATCACAGTTTAAAACTTCTACAGATGTGCCTGCTATAAAAAGACACTTTAATATGTAAGTTTCTAAAGCAACATGAGAAATATAACAGATTTTGAAAGAGGCTAAATAGTTTTTGCCTAAATTGCAGGTCTGTCAGTCACAGAAACAGAACAATTATTTAATGTCTTAAAGGGAACAATGTCAAAAATCATGGTAGAATCTACCAAACAAGGAAAAACAGCATTTGGAAAGAGGAACAATGGTCTCAAGATGAAGCTGACCTTCACAGAAAGATGGACACTTAACAAGATAGTAGCCGAAAACCACAAAACAACGACCCACATTGACAGCCTCACAACTGAATCTACACTTCTGTAACCCTGTCTCAAGAAAAGCTGTACAGTATGTCATGAGCTTCACAAAGCTGATATTTATGGCAGGGCTGCCATTTGGAAAGTGCTTGTAACCAAGGCCAGTACACAGCAACGCAAAACCTGGTGTAATGATTACAAAACCTGGACTTTTGAGCAGTAGAAGAAAATACAGTAAACCCAGGAGGGACAAACAGGAGGGAAGGGCTGTCCAACATTGGCAAAAGTCAGTAAAATCACAATTTTTTCAGCTCCAAAACATTCTGTTATTTGAGAAAAACGTGTACTATGTACTGTATCTGCTTGCAGGATCTTTTCACTTGTTTTTGTAACAGTTGCAATTGCAATAAACAGTTAATGAAAAGTGTTCCTGCTCCTTCTTATCATATATATATATAATATACAATATTTTCATAAAATAATTTGTTTCCTTCATAAACTGTAAAAAAATTGCTGAAGGTGTTGTTCACTTTTATTTTTCTTGAATTTGAACATTAAACTACATAAATAAAAACAGACGGGAAAGCCATTTTCAGTGTACTTTGGTGGTTTCTTTGTCTTATTACTTACTCCCTTATAGTACACTGCAACTTGCCAAATACTACTTCTAACCAAAGTTATATAGAGTCATATTTGTTCACCCATTTTGGATAAAAAAATAAATAAGAGATGCTAAATGCTTAAAAATGTATTAGGTTAGGTTACATACTAAGAAGATGTGTATGTAATACTTTCCTATCCCAAAAATAGTATATGATTGTCTGCTTGGAAGTGTTGTGATTGTGGATTAAACAGAATTCCAATCGCATTTGGTGTCAAATAAGAATGTTTTTTGCTTTTGTGAAATTATTCTTATATACTTAAACCAGTTCTAGTGACCCTTTATAATTGTTAAATTTTCCAGTTTGATTTTTTTATAGTGATTTGTTCCATATCAGAGTAATCTTTCTGATGTAAGCAGATTTATTTTTTAAAAGCAAGAACAACGTAGGGTAGTGGAAACCTTATGAGATTAAGGATATGAAAAGCTTTGAAAATGGTGAACCGTGTAGTTTATATTCCCATCATTTTAATATTTGAAAACCTTTCTATATAAATTGTTAGGTTATGATCAACAAGGAGTTAAGTTTGAGTTGGCACATGAGACTACACATTATCTTCCTGCTTTCAAGAAATACAATTTGTATGTGAATTCATTCTGTTGGGAAACATTCTGATGTTTTTCAAGTCAAGGAAGGAAAATGCAAAGGTTGTAAATAGTAAGAGAATCTTTGACACAGAAACACAGTCAGTGTGTTTCCTTGATATCATAATCCATAATAAAAATTTTGTAATTTTTTATCCTGAAAGTAGGTACATTATTAAATGTTATAAGTGATCATTAACAAATACTGAGTGACTCCCTCCTGCCACAAAGAAACAGCAAAATAATAATATTGCTTGAATAAACCTGCACAGCAAACCATGTTTCTGTTTCAAAGGTTTTGAAGGAAAACTTTGTTTTCTTTTCCTGAACTTGTCGTGAGTCATAAAACTGGAAATTCTCAGGATGGTTGAATCCTGATGCATTCATCTTCGTGTTTCCACCTGTGTTTGGTCTTCTTGCTCCACAGATTCGGTACATTTCTCAGACGCAGGGGTTGCCAGCAGAGTACTTGTTAAGTGCGGGGACGAAGACGACAAGGTTCTTTAACAGAGACCCAGACTCGGCATACCCGCTTTGGAGACTTAAGGTGAGGGCGGAGCACTCTTAAATTTTTAAGAACTTTAAGAAAAATAGGAGATGTTTAAAAAATACTGTGCAAAAAATGTGATATGTTTAATATTGTATGAATGAGATGCATCAAAGATTCTCTTTGACCCTGTAGACACCAGAAGACCATGAGGGAGAGACGGGGATCAAGTCGAAGGAGGCGCGGAAGTACATTTTTAACTGTTTGGATGATATGGCGCAGGTATGCATGCACAGGAATCTGACTCCTTAAAGGAGAAAAAAATGTAATTTTTTATGTCATTTTTGTTGATCCCTGTACTCTTTGACAGTGTGAAAGAATTGAACACTGGAATTCATTTCTATTTCATGAAAACCCCCCAAATTATACTGAAATGCCATATTTTGGTTTCAAAGACATTTAGCTCTAATACTGTATGCCCTTTCAGAAATGTAACCCATGCTGGGAGTTGTTTACATACAAAATAGCCAATCCAGAAAAATGGATTACATTAAATCAACATTTATTTTTAATTGTAAGTCTGCTACACTCATAATGAGTGATATGACTTGTAGTTTTCTGAAGGTAAGGGTTGTAGTCATAGCTACCTGGAATACTGCATAGCAGCAGCTTTAAACAATGCAATTCTGCATTCTCTAGCAAAAAGACACATTGTTTGCATGAGGTATCGAGCCTTCTCGTCTCCTCAGAGTTGGGTTAAGTCTGAATTTTTAAATGTTGCCTTGATGACATTTTTTTCTTCTTCTTATAGTATTTACTCTGTGGATGAGAGTGCTCTCTGTACTCTAGGTGAAATATTTTTTGTGGGCTTTATTGTCTGATAAAGAAACTCCTTTTGTATTTATTCGTTTGAATGTTAAACATTTATGCACAAGACTATGTTTCCTAAAATCAAACAAGGTGTTTACAAGGTGTTATAGAAATGTAGGAGATGACTCACAGCCCCCAGTTCTGTGAAAGCCCAGTTTGCACGCAGGTATGTTTGCACTAAGCTACAGAAAGATTCTCTCCTTCATTATTTTCATTTCTGACATTATAAGATGGAATCAAGGTGAAAGCAGGTTTTTCCTTATAAGTGATATGTAATGTTATGACCAGACTGCACACCTAGATAGAGTAATTGTTTTAATTTAGTCCACTTTGAACATTGTTTGGACATTTAACCCTTTAAGTACACACCCTACATAATACAGTATGTGCTTCTAATATTAACAGAAAATTTCTAAGATTTTTGCTCAAATCCTCTTCCTTTCACCTTTTGTTTAATGAATATTGAATAGCTCTCATTGAAAAAAAAATAAAGTCTTATTCTGGAATATATTTCTGGAGCAAAAATTTGGTGTTAATATGCAGGTTTACAAGCTGCGGTCCTTGGTTTTGAAAACAGTTTTCCTGATTTTTGGGAGATCAGTTGGTTTACTGTCACTGCTGTTCTCATATGACTACTGATGAACAGCATTGCTGTCTTAACTTGCAAACAGATCTGGAATCTCACTTTATAGTTCTCGTTTCAGATGCCTCAGATTATGTATCACTCGGGTGTGTTGAAATATGTGTTTGTCTGAAACCGTGATTCCCTCCCCACTGAGGGGTCTGAAGCGTTACTTCAGAACTAAGGCAGCTAATTAAACCCACATCCAGTTTTGAATAGGTCCACAAGGACAATCTAAAAAGATGTTTTTAGCACTTCTTTAGTGCTTTGGGAGCTACATCTGAGGCTTGAGTTTAAAGGAATTAGTTTAGATGGATTTTATGGATGCCATTCATACAGTAAGTGCAAAAACACAAACCACAAGATTTTTAATGAGAGAACACTCAATCAAAAAGGCGTCAGTGGAAAAAGCATTTTCTTCTACAATATTGTGTAAAAAATTACCATTAAACTATGGAATTTAAAAATCTGGTGGAGGGCATCTTTCATGTTACAAGAGTGCTGAAATAATTAAAAATAGTGCTGGTACAGTATGCAGACAAGTCAGAAATGAAGAAAGTAAAGATCAACAGTAATTGCCACAGGATGTTACAGTAGATTCTAAAAAGATATTATTGATTCTCCATGTGGTTGTCAATACTGAAAGGGATTCTTAGCTATAGCAGTGGACATGTGATGCTGAACCAAGATGATTATAGATTTATACCAAGTCTTACTTAGTTTTATCTATGAACTTGGTATCTGTTGTCATGGAGAAAGATACATGTAGGAAATGCTTTATTTCACTGTTGCTGCATAATCTTTTCATCACTGATACACAATATGGTATAATCAAATGCATAATGTACACAAGAGGTCATGACATCTCTTAACATAATTTATAGCACTTGGTACTGGGCTGATGATCCCCAATTTCAACATCCAGTGGTGGTGGTTGATAGTGTTCATATGTTGATAGGGTACAGTAGTTTATTGCCACTGTCCGGGGAATCCTGATCACAGCTGAACCTATCCTCCAGGCAGGTGTCACGATATTAGTTCCCCCTCCTTAAGGGTGCTCCAGCCCTTTCACTTAAGACTTTATTCTCTGCACCTGTTCCCTTTTCCCAGCCCACCTTAAAAGCCAGGCGCTGACGCTCATCTGGGCTCTGCATATGATTTCCATATCGTGCGAGTCCGGGACCTGGAAGCCCCTGGTCCCGTTAAGGTTTTAACCTCTGTTCCCGTTCCTGTTCCCCGTCCGCCAGTTCCGACCCAGCCTTTGTGGTTTTTAATTCTTGTTCTGATGGATCTTCTGGTTTTGGACTTTCCCTTGTGTTTTGGATATTCCCAAAGGACTACTCTCTCGGATTGTTCGCCTCGGCCACACCTCCCCCGTGCACCAGCGCACCTTGGACACGCCCCCCTGTCTTCAGCCCCGTTTTCCTGCATGACGTTTCCCTAGTGTTTCCCCACTCCGTCGGATTGTGTCGTCCGCATAGGGTCCGGAAAGAACTGTTCGTTACAGCAGGGACCTTTACTGATTGAGATGCAGGGAAACCCTGGATATATAGATCTGAATTAGAGTAATTATAGACTATCTGACCATTTTTCTGACCAAGTTTTTTTTTATATTATAGTATACCCCACAGAAATAGATGGCAAACTCTAAAGCACCTCTTTAAGAGGAGTTTCAGAGCGTATGTGATTGGTGCCTTTTACATCTGTCTATTGTTTTTTCATGAAATGGAAGTTTTGCTATATTTATACATGTTGTAAGGCATAAAATAAGTAAGGTTCCCAAATTCCAAGTCATTTTCTAGTTTGTGAGTAAAGATAAAATAATGATTGAGCAGTATTCAAAATCCTCCTGTGTTATTTTTTTTTCCAGAGATTATTCTTCACCAGTTAGATAATACACAGATTTATCAATGTTTTCTGTTGTTTATAGCAAATATATCACATTTTTACATCTCATCAATTTTTAACTGCATTGATGAGAGTAAATGCAACAGATATTAACCTGCTTTTGATGATAACAAAAAGAAGGAAATGAAGTTTTGATAAAGTCTGGAGTTGGTGGATTAAGGTATTAACCTTTATCACATAGTAACAAGTAATGTATGGATTTTCATCAGCCACATGTCATCACATGTTTCGAATTAAGCACTAAGTCTTGAGCATTCTGAAAGTACTATAAATTGCCATGTTGTTGCAAACCCCTGGACTTGCCACAAAATTCCCACGAATATTGACGTGATGCCGCCCCTTCCTGCTCACTAGTCACTGTAATAATTGATGTAATGCAAGTTACGAGCAAATAAGTACAGGTTGTGTAGCAGACATTTCACCACAGAAATGTTCCAATGTGATCTGCATGCAAAGTTAACAAGTAACAGCTGATTCTTTCTAACCCTTTGAAATATTAAAATAGTGTTGTCCTTTAATGTTTCCAGTTATCATCTTTTAAGCATGATAATAGAAAATGTTTTAAAATCTAAAGGCTTGCACCTCTCATGCTCTGTGTATGGGCTCAATATGGTTTTACTCCTCATCTAGGGAAAAGAGCAGGTTCCTAAATTGGAATTCCCTCATGGTTCCATTCTTTTTACTTCACAGGTGAACATGACAACGGATTTGGAGGGAAGTGACATGTTGGCAGAGAAAGCAGACCGGCGGGAGTTTATAGACCTGTTAAAGAAAATGCTGACGATTGACGCAGATAAACGGATAACCCCCATTGAAACTTTGAACCATCCCTTTGTCACAATGACACATCTGCTTGATTTTCCTCATAGTACACAGTACGTTTTGATGGGGGTGGGGGTTAGAAACTGAAATGTGTTCTTTGCAGAAAGCTTTTTATAGCAGAAGGTAGTTCATACAGTACCTATCAACCTACATTTCTAGACAATTTTGTGTTCACCAAAATGGGTTCCTATATATCCATTCATTTTCTAACGTCTTCATCCAATAAAGGTATAATTGGGGAGCTGGAGTCTATCCTTGCGGGCAAGGGGGTGAGGCAGGATACCCCCTGGACAGGATGTCAGTCCTTCAAAAGACACTCACAGACACAAACAAAAACATACTCACACCAGGGCCAACTCCCCCAGAAGACAAGTATTGTACAAGTATGATTTTGAATTTTGGGAGGAAACCAGAGCATCAGAAGGAAACCCACATAAACTCGGGGCGACCACCACTCCACATCACAGGTCCAGATTTGAACTCAGGGTTTTCAGTGCTACAAGGCAGCTATCTACTGCACCACTATGCTGTTCTATATATTTTAATATAAAATATTTAATTTTAAAAAGTAATTATTTATTATATATCAGTATTAAAAAATACAATAATTGAATAAGTCTCCACTATGTGATGGAAGCACCTTTGGCAGGAATTTCAACTGTGAATCTATTGGGATGTGTCTCTTCCAAATTTGCACACCTGTTTTGATCATTCTTATTTACAAAACTCTTCTAGTTCTGTCAAGTTCCTTAGGGAGAGGTGATGGAGAGCAATCTTCAAATCATGCTACAAATGTTTGGTATGATTTAGGTCAAGGCCCTGACTGAGCCACACAAGGACATTTATCTTCTTGTTCCTTAACCACTCCAGTGTATCTTTGGCTATGTGCTTTGAGTTGTTGTCATGCTGAAATGTGAGGTCCCATCCTAGATTTAGCTTTCTTGCTTCAGGTTTTCCTCCAATGCTTTTCTGTATTTTGCTCCATTCATTTTCCCTTCTGTACTGCCAAGTTCTCCTGATATTGTTATCACATACAGTACATCCTTTGACCAGTCCTGACCAAGTCTCCAGGTCTTTCAAAGTTGCCTTTGTCCTCTTGGTAGCTTCTCTGATCTGTTTCCTTTTTGCTCAGTCTTCTTACATCAGGAACAGCCTCATCTGGACAGGGTCTTAATGGTATCATACACCTTTCACTTCTTAATAATTGTCTTGACTGTGTTTCAAGAGGTAGTCCAGTCCTTTGAATTTCTTTATACCCATTCCCTGATCTGTGCTTTCTACAACTTTGTCCCAGAGTTCAGTTGCTCTGGGCTTTGTAATGCACTACCCAGCAGAGTAACAGGAACTGCTGAACTTATCCTGAAATCTCATGAATCACTACAATTTAATAATTGTTGAGGCCAAGTTGTGCGATTGTTTTTCTAAAGCGGGTGGACATTTATCCATGCAAGCTATGTCAGTTTTTATCTTTAATTTTTTTTTAAATGTCTAGCATAATATTTTACTTGGAAGTTATAGAGTAGCAAGTGTAGATAAATGAAATGTGAAAAATTTGAAAGGGAGTGGTGACTCTCTATAGCGACTATGTTGTTTAATCTCATTTTACCTGACTTCTTTTATAACTATCGAGTTTATTATGGCTCTTTTGTAATTATGTGAATTATCTATTCTTAACAATTTTCTCTAAAGGTTTGTTATTTAAGAAGACCTTGAACAAAGACCAAACTTCAGGATAATTGTTTTTAGTTTAAATATCTGATGTTTTGATGTGTTAGCTTTACTGTAGATGCTTTGATGCTTATTCTTACCATGTTTTATTCTTCTTATCCTTCTGCAGTGTCAAGTCTTGTTTTCAAAACATGGAAATCTGCAAGCGCAGGGTTAACATGTACGACACTGTTAACCAGAGCAAGACTCCATTCATTACACATGTTGCCCCCAGCACATCCACCAACTTGACCATGACATTCAACAACCAGCTTAACACTGTACACAACCAGGTAAGCTGATCACAACTCTGAGCAAGCAAATTTATTTTGAATTTTTGGTATAAGATGACTTGTATTCCAGTGAAGTTAACAGCACAGAGTCTAGTGATACAATTCAGAAACCTGAAAACTGCTAGGTTTTTTACAACCAGCGACACAAACGTCCTCTCACATTTTCAATATGTTAAAATTATAAAAAAGCTTAATTACAATGTGTGTTTTAACTGTTTTTATGTATCCACTGGTTTTAGTGCTAGTTTGCATTGATTAATATTTCTTGTCATTGGGAGAAAAGGCTGTTTTAGTAATTTTCTCATTTCTGTAGATTAACTGTAGATTAATATCCATGGTCAAAGGTAGATATCTTTCATACAGATATTGATTTGGTGTAATATTAGCACATCCCACTGATTTTATTAATTTTTTGTAAGCTAATTTGAAGATTGTTTTCTAGTTTAATCATCGAGGTGAAGAAAGCACTTTGCAAATGTTCTGTACTGTAAAGGCCTCTAGACCAGACCTCTGTAATGTTAATGTAATGGTACAGGTTGAAAATCCTTAATCCAAAATTCCAAAATCCGAAAACCTCCAAAATCCGAAACTTTCCATCTCACGGTGAGGTCATCGATGACGTACCCTCTCCCTCAAGTTTCCCGGACCTGATGTAGTTTTAATGTCTGGGGCTGCATTTATCTGCAAGTTTGTAAGCAGTGATCATCATGTTTTGTTCTGTTTTTTTTTTTAAGTAAGTACAAAACATTATTTTTACGTGAGATCTGAATTTCACCTCCATGTACAGTATGAGTGTAACTTGACTAGCGTCATTACTTGTACATTACTTTAAAAATAAAATACTGACTTTTTTCAGTTTTCATTTTATTTACCTGTAATCATATTCAATACTTTGTTTTTATACCTTACATAAAACTTAATACCTGTGTAGTAAAAAATAAAATAAAAATGGCATACCTGTACTGTAACCTTTTAATCAAAACATGACATTGTAGGTAGAGACTGATATCTTTCTGATGGTATTATGTTAAAAAAATATTTATATATTTATATAAAATTACATTCAGGGTATATGTATAAGATATATTATGAAATGTAAATGGATATGGTGTTTAGACTTGGGTTCGATCCCCAAGTTGTCCCATTTTATAGATGCAAATATAAAAATATTCCGAAATCCGAAATCCGCAACACTTTCGGTCCCAGGAATTTCAGATAAGGGATCCTCAACCTGTACTATGTATCACAATGCTTGCAGCTCAAATTAAGTCTCCCTCGGTGTTTGGCCAGTATTGAGAAAAGTAAAAATGAAGAATTTGAGTGTTTCCATTATAGACTCTTAATGAAAATGATGCAATTATCAGAATATTTACAAAAGTATTACTTAGCTGAAGATGAAAAACACCAGTTGTATATATTGCACCTGTTGTTTGAGGAAGGGGCTCAAGCAATAACATGTTTTTTTACATTGTTTATTTCAATAACTCATTTCTCTGGAAGCCAACCAGGTCCTGAACCTCCCATTTCAATATGCTTGTTATTGATGAAAACTGTGTTAATCAATGGTAATTGATGGAATGAGTGCTGTGTCCTTACCACTCATTTTAAGAATAGGGTCTGTGCACTTTTTTTACTGAGACTAAAATGATCAGAATTGTTGAGCGAAACCTTGTGGCGGCAATATACTGTAGGTACCTTTCAAAAATCACCTGTTTTAGTTCTTTTAAGCACCCAAAGAAAAATCGCTCCTTCAATCTGCAGGATGACTCCAGAGACTTTGCACAACTGGCTGGTTTCACACTATTTGTCACATGTAATGAAATATTGCTGTGATAATGCAAGGCAGAAAGGTAAAAAATAGGAAACAAAAAGTCACTGTTATTACTGGTTCCACATTCATTAATGATCTTTGGCTTGTGAAGTTGTTCTAACAAAAACATTTTCCGTGACAGTAAATTGACAGTAAATAAAAATGAAGTTTCTTTTCCAAAACCAGGTGCTGTCTGCAGTTGAAATACTGTATAAGTGAAATCATAGATGTGTTATTTAAGGATATGTTAATAAATCATAAAGGTCCAAGTGTTTATATATATATATATTTCATTATCCTGTGGGATTTATTACTTGGTTTTCATTTAAACCCATCTTTGTCCATTTTTTGTTGCTTTGTGTTAAGTTGGTTTACCTGTAATATATGTAATGCATTACAAAATAGGAATATGTACAGTAACAAAGCTCCTAAAATAGATCATTTGTAAATGATCTTCACTGTTCAACATTAGAACTTCATTTTAATAATAATAATAACCGACGTATAAAGGTGGAGTTGGAAATAATTATAGTAATGGGTTAAATGTACCTTAGAAAAATTGAATGTTGGAGTAATTAGTGACACAGGTGCTTTTAAACTTAAGCAAACAGGCCTAATGTTTCTTTTACCATTTTTAGTTAATCTAGTATCTTTTCTTTTCACTTCAGTTCTTTTTTTTCATTTTCCCCTACTCATTATTATACCATCAACCCCTTCGTATTTATGTTCAATCCCATCATTCCTTTAGGGTCCCGCCTCCACCAGTGCCACCCTTTCCCTTGCCAATCCTGATGTCTCCATACTAAACTACCAATCTGCACTCTACCAGCCCTCCGCAGCGTCCATGGCTGCCGTGGCCCAACGCAGCATGCCTCTGCAGCCTGGGGCCCCGCAGCTCTGCGCCGCACGGCCTGACCCCTTCCAGCAGGCCCTCATTGTGTGCCCACCGGGATTCCAAGGTAACCTACCCGCTGGAAGTCAGGAGTTTGTCCTGCTTGTGGCACTGCTTTGTGACTCGGTCGTATCTGTGGATATGAGTCATGTCCACAGATAGTTGCGGTCTTTGTTCCACAAGATGGGATTCTGTCAGAAAACTGCTGCTGTCGGACTGCAACTATAGACATTTCCGTTCACAATTTATATATTCAATTTAACTACTTTTTCACAAATAATAGTTTAAAACTTTTCTTATTAATACGAACAAACATAAGAGTGAACACAAAAGAGACTGGCTTTCTTTGGGTAAATAATCTAAAAAAAAACATGAACATATTTTAATATATGAGCAGTTTCTTAAGCTTCAGCCTGACACCAGTTGTTATATTATATAGAGAAGTCCATCAGATGAAGTTTTTTTATTGCTATCTGTGCTAAAATCAATCATAACTACACATACTGGTCTTCAATAATCAGGCTTTTACCAGTGATGAGAGGTCCTATTGGGTCAATATTGAGTATTATCTTTTCCTGCTGTGTCTTGACTTCTTTCTTAACTTAACTCTTATGCACTGTGATGTAGTGATCTAGCCTTGATTTCACACCATCCAGAAACCACTGAGGTAAGAGCACTGTCACCTGCTGAGAATACAGAATCATAGTGAGAGCACAACTAGAGCATAAGGGTTTTGAAATGTAAGGCTGAACATGAGAAGTGTAAAACAGCACTTATTTTCTATTATTTTATAGAGTTCACTTTGGCTTTTATTGTTTTTTAATGAGAAATACAAAATCAAGATTTCATTGCATTGCTTTCATTTCAGGTAGTTTAGTTATGAAAGCAGTGTGGTCAGCACTAGTAATGTAAAATAGTTCCTGAGAATCTGTGATTCTATGATCACAGGCAATTTATTGGCTCTGGAGTGAAGAAGCACAAAAATCCTGTGACACCAGAGATACTCAGAGCTTGTTTTTACTTTGTGCTCAGAGACCACCCAGGCTTGTGTTGGTGTGTTTGATGCTACTAGGACAGGTGGATACTCTTCACTCCACAGTTTCATTGAAATAAATGGCTGACCACCAGGAAGCCTTCAATATACAGTATATACACCTAGGAAAAGCTTGAAGTACCCTATGAATAATCAAGATATTCAAAAGACAATTACTCATTTCATGAGGTGGATATTCACTCTGGCAGAAACTGTCACAATGAATGGGGTTTTTCATTAATGTATACATATCTTCTCAGTAGAAAAAAGAAACATTTTCTTCAGAACTGAATTTCACACAATTAGAAGCAAACCTGTTTTTTTATACTGGACTTACATGTGTGTGGGTAGCTAAAATGAGGTTCAACCACACTGGCTTATAGCGGTAATTGGTGGTTAAAAGAAGTTTTCATGTCTTTGTTGGATGATTTCTAGGATATGAAGATTTATTTTTCAAAAGCTTGACCTTAAAGTCAAGGTGGCAGTTACAGTACAGTACATAATGAGATAAGTATGTTGACAGCAAATTTTCTTTTGCAATTAGGAAAAAAACAATTTTCTATATTATTTGATGTATTTATAACTTTATTTAACACTAATTCATCTTAAGCAGCAGTGAAGACTCCAGATGTACTGTATTAACTGATTTCAAACATCATAATGCAACAATTAAAATCTGTAGCTGTAACAGTTACTTGTATTTACAATCTAATGTAGCTGTTTTTTTCTTACAGCTTCTTATGTTGGCAAAGTATGACAGTATGACACCGAGTATGACGGTGACAAATGATCTGTTAAATAAAGACATTTTTGTTGTGATCTGTTTTGAAAATACTTTTTTTAATAAAATAAAAGTTGTTCATGCTTTTGAGCTGCATGAGTACATGGGGCCAGTAGCAAAGCCCATATATTCTAGATGTGTAGTGTCTAGGTTTTAAAATGTTTAACCTGGTTTTTGGTGGGATTAACTTCCGTTTGGAGCAAGAGCGAATGATTAGTCCTGGTGAGAAGATTTACCAGGTGATTGTGAGAAACATAAGGGAGAGTGAAAAGAAAACATTTTCTGGATTTGTTTTAACTTGACTATCAATATTAGGGCTGTAAGAAAAAAAGTAACACTTTATTTGAAGCATTGTAAATCATGCTTTGAAAGTGCAGTGCATGTTTTGTACCCCTTAAATCATAAACATTTGTTTGCACTGACATTAGTGGAATATTTCTAAATATCTAGTGTCTAAGTGGCACTAATTATGCCACACCTGTTAATGCTATTTTCATATATGGTGAGCTATAATGAATTCATACATACAGTATGTTGAAACAGATCATAAATATAGTAACAACAATAATATACAAGTTATTTATTTTATAGGTAATTGCAGAACTGTTAATTTTGTTCATCATCACCTAAAGAGGATATAGAAAAATGTTAATTTGTTGCTTTCTTTCTATTGGCAACCCCTGTTGTCTCAGATTACATTTTGGAGCTGTGGCGGTCTGGAACATCTACCCGTCCACGTTGTTGAGGCCGATATCGTGAAACAGCTGGATGAAATCCTCCAATCAGTTAGCTATCAACTACTAAATGACCTAGATGGGCTGAATGGCCTCCTCTTGTTTTTTTATGCTCTTTTAATTGAGTGCTTGCTATAAATTTTAGTCTGATTGAAAGTGCTTTGACTTTTAACACGTCCCCAATTAATTTGAGTTGTCTTATATTTGTTGTGTTGTGTGAAAAGGATTTGAATATCTCATTGTGGACTCAAATACCAATTATATCAGGCTGAATCTGTGTTTAATTGAAAAAAAATTTTTTTACCAAAGAGACATTTCCGTGCAATCATCAAGCCACTGAAATGAGAAATGTTTTCACCCCCCCATTTTCTAGTTCCTCTGACTGTTTTTTGTTGTACCTACTGTACAGTGCACGGTTTGTTATTTTGTGAGGCTGAAATGGAATTTGTTTTTTATGACATATCACTTCTCTTTTTTCATGCCACAGGACTACAGGCCTCTCCCTCAAAGCATCCTGGTTACTCAGTGCGGATGGACAACGCTGTTCCCATAGTTACCCAGGCCCCCGGTGCCCAGCCCTTGCAGATTCAGCCAGGCCTACTAACACAGGTAAGCAGCTCAAGCAGTCTCAATGGTATCATATCCTAAAAATTCTGTGTGTACTGTTAGCTTAAGCCTTAACACTGTTTTTATTGTTGTCCAAAAACTAGGGCAGTGAAACCTTGGAACTTTCAGCATCAAAATGCACCATACTTAAGTTAAAACCTAAGTTAGGAGGCATCATTAAATATTTAGATTTGTATGTTTTTTTTTAATCTTGAAGAACATTAAGCTCCTTGGAATTCTGTATCTTTGTGTCAGAACTCAGAAACATGGCACATGAAGACTGAACTCATATTAGGTTTGTTCCTCTGTGGGGAGTGTTCCTGTTTCTCATTTCATGCCTTATCTGCCAGGCTAAATCATAACTTCTAGAACTACTCACCCCAGGCCATAGCACACACATTTTGCTCTGTGGAGGGCAGTCAAGTATGCATTTCTTTTTTTTTACAATGATGAGAGTACTTCTGCTGCCATTCATATTTATTTTTGTTATATACTCTAATCACTGATGCACAGATGCCCAAATTTATCAGGACTAATCTTTATAAATGCCTTTCTTTTTTGTGTGTAAAATCTTATTACAGACTATTACAGATAAAGGGTGTGGTGCGATTAATAAAAAATGCTATCAGCTATTGCTCAACTGAAATTTGAGATGTTTGCTTTTCCCCCTTTAAATGGCTGTAATATGTTAAATATTGATGGAAAGCAGTGGTAAAATATTTGGAAATGTGATAAAATATTGCAGTATTTTAGCACTAATTTGAGTATTTTTCCTTGCTTCACTTCACATGCTTAAATTTTTTAATTCTGAAGTCACAATTATCGTATTCCACAACAATAATACCCAGTAATCTAAATGGGACCAGCAGCTTTTGTCCCTACTGATTCAGTTAATGATTTATCAGTTAATGGCACTGAGATTTTTAATTCTGTTAGTTCCTCTTGTTTTAATTCATTTTTGAGGTTTGTTCTCTGAGTTGCCATTAATGATCTGTCCCACACTTCTAGTAGAACAGGATTCCGTCTCTAACTGTGGATTTGCTAGACTTGGAAGTCGCTCATACATGGTTTCCATATTGAGTACCTGGCGTGGGAAAACCCTTGCACATACTGTACATGGTTCCAACCTAAAAAAACGTGCAGCTTTTCCACCAAATAAAGTCTCCCTCACTCACCACTTGTCTTTTCTCCCAGTTAAGCATTCAGTTTTAATATTTTTCACATACATGTGTGCCCATGAGTTCAGTGCTCTTTTACGTGTACTCGGGTATTTCAGTGTTTTAAGTCTCAGGATTCAAGGTAATTAACCTTATGGTTTACTTTTATTTTTTATTACTTTCTTGTGAATTATAATTCATATTATTACTGTATATTTGTAATTTTTAAGGGAGAAATCTTAAGTTATGATGAGTTTTACATAGACTGTGGGAGCCTAACCCCTATTTACGATTGAAGTATTTACCAACCACAGTTGGTAACTCCTCAGTTGGTGAAGGAAACCATACTAGGGTTCCAACATTGTGACAAAGAATCAATGTAAACTATCTAGTAACATTTCAGGTCACAGGGTTTGTGTTTATAAGTTATAATTGTTTGTAATTCTGGATTTTGTATTGGTCTTTTTAAAGTAAAGTAATTGTTGAGGTATAAAAATCAGTAGTTGCCAATTATTTTTGCTTTAACCAACCAAACTGCTAGCACTTGGTTGGGCACAGGGGTTACCGTGTCTGAGAGCTGAGAGAGCCCTGGCTGACTAATCCTACTCTGCCCTCGGCAGCACTCAGTCAATTGCATGCCACCATTTGCAGAAATCGTGGTCATGGTCAGCTAGCAATATAACCCAGGCTTGAACATATGATCCGAGAGCTCAACCTGGACTCGACTAAGCACCTTTATTGGTTGAGCTTATTAGAAGGCTGCTACATCATTACCTGAGATAACACATATGACAAGCACAGGGGTCTTTCCTTTGTGGTGAGACAAAGAGTCTTTGCACATAACCAGAGCATTCTTAGAATCACAGTGGCAGATTCCTGAGAAGATTCCTGAGATTCCTGAGAAAGTGTAGACCCAGCATTATAAATCAGAATTTATTATTTATTATTTAATTTATTATTCCTTTCTCAGCAAAATCAGTATGCATTCCAATAGATGGCATTTTCACATCCATGAAAACAAAACAGAGACAAAACACATTTACTATCTGTATTTCTTTTCTTAAGTTTCTGTTTTATTAATGCACATTCTTTTTTTATAAAAATGTAATTAATTAATGAAAAAACAGGGCAGAAAGTCTTCTTTCTAGACCTCTAAATGTTCTGTAGGTGTTATAAATTAAATGGAGCCCATTCTCAAAACCATCAGCTGTAAAAGACCTTGACTCCCTCTTATATGGTTCATCTCCCTGAGATTCCACACTGGGGGGCTTCATTCCCAGCCATTCCCACTGCTGTTCTTGTCAGTGATAAGCAGTTGTTGAATTTGGGTTGGGGGCACATAACGACTGTCCCTTTATCTGGATCAGAAATACTGAAAAGGGGGGAACAATTGAAACAGGGCTAAGGTGATATGCTGTTTGGAGGAGGTTGTTGTGTTTTGAAAAAAGAAATAGTGTATAAAAGTGTATAATCCTCGGTTTTTACAGGTTAGTACTATTAACTACCAAAAAGCCTAGATGGACCAAATGGTCTTCTTGTTTGTAACTTCCTGTGTTCTTTTTTTTTTTTGGAACACCATTATGAAGTACAAAGTATAACCTGTATGACATACTGTTTCAGTTATCAGTTTTGTCGAAATCTTACTTGTTTCTACAGTTTTTCTCTCTTCCCCTCTTTGTTTCCTCCTTCTCAACCAATTGAATCATTAATGTTAACAGGGAACTTAATTCAATCTCAGTCCAGGCTTAGGAAGTTGACATGAGCTTTGGCCTATTTGTCAGCAGGTAGAACTAGAAGTCAGGCTTAGGGGGGAGATATAAATGGTTCTATGTTTTTTGGACAAAACCTGTTTTGTATTTAAAGATACATTTTGTAAACATCTTCTTTTTGTATGAAATTTTGGCTCAGCTAAATAAGATAACTTTATTGGCCATACTGTATACAGTTTCTTGGATTAGGAATTTGTCTTTTCGCATTCCCCAACTTGCTCTCCAGGAGACATACAGACAGGGAGAGAAGCTTGGGGTCAGAGCTCAGGGTCAGACATTTATATGGCGCCATATACTGCCACAATAAATACACACAGGAGCCTTTAATTCACTGGACAGAAAATTGGATAAAAATTAGTTATGTAAAAACCAAAACAGCTACTTTACCTGGAATAGCATAGTCTCTCCGGTTCTCTTTTATTGTATACCAAATTGCATTAAAAAAGCAGCAAAAGCTAATTTAATATTTGCAGAAATGGAAGATATGTCTTAGCATTCCACATATTGCTGTGACACATACCCATGCATTAAACTTTAGTCCTGCTGTTTATTTACCTCATGTGAAAACTGGATTTTTACAAATAGATGTGGTCATTATATACTGAGCATCAAACTTATTGCTTACAACTGTTTGTCAGAAAATCACAATGTTTTGTGATTGACATCTTAATCAACAGACTTGTCGTACATAAATTTGGATTAACATTGATTGTCAGTAGGGTTGACCAGAGGCACAGGCTAGGTGCACATAAGGCCAGTGTTATAAGCTATACAATCAGTACATCTGTGACGCTTGCTTTGCAATGGGATTTTCTCCCATTCCTCTCATAACATCTGAACAAGACATGCTTGTCTCTGGGCCCAAGATTCCACAACATATCAGCCCATCCTATAACTGTTCTGTGGTGCTCAAGTCTAAAGCATAACTATAGCATATTTATCTGACAAAAAAGCATTGTACATGAGCAGCGTGAGAAAGTGAGTTGTCCTGGAATGTTGTCATGTCATAAGGAGCCCACAAGTGAATTCCCAGGACTTAATCAGGATATTGCCTTTGAGTCAGGCATCCAAAAATCACTACAGGCAATGTTCTGTCAAGGTCAAAGTCAGGTGAGAGTATCACACTTAGCCTTAAATGATCAGTTAATCAAATTGCCTAAATCATTTCTACAATACTATATACAAAATCTATATGATTTATTTTTCAAAAACGTACATGCATAGAGTGTATAGAGTATGTTTTTCAATATTCAGTAAATGAAAAGTGATTTGTTTTTATTTTTTCGAAAGGGGCAGCTGAAATTTCATTGCTTCAAATGCAACCAAAACAATAACAATAACAATGGCTGTTTTCTTTGAGCCTCTGAATGTTTTGTCTTCAAATTTCCTAACTAGAACAATTTAGAGGACACACAATTTAAGGACCATTAGACATTGTTTACATTTTCAAAATATGTCACCATACAGTAAGTCATTATATTTCAAGTACATTTTGTACTTTAAATACTAAGAAAGGTTTCAGAAGGAATTATCACCATCAATTTTGTCTCAACTTTTATTGAGTGTCCTTCCAGATGCCTTAGCTACTACTCACATAAAAGGAAGGATTAGTGCCTATGCAGATCTGTCTGTAAATTATCATCATTACCTTACAGAATTATTTGAACCAGTTAAGGTCATTAAGTCAGGATTCTTATCCTGAGGTATACAGTTTACAGAGATTTCTCTTCAATCATTCCAGGGGGGTCCCAAAAAATAGAGAAATGCTTTATTAATTTAACATTTTTTGTATTTCAGTATTTATATAACGTTATTCACTTTATTTCTGCTGTCATTTATTTCTTCATCTTTTCTATAGATTTTGAAGTTGCAGCTTAGTGGCATTTTTAATAACTGTATATACCATTGCAGTTAAGTGCTATCTAGTTCCACATTGTTTGGAGAAAGTCGGTGAAAACATGTAGTGCAGATAAGGAAGGTTCATGCTAAATATTTGAGCTAGGATTGGGTCCCCTTTTTAGAGAATACCTGACACAGGCTGAGAACAGTAGGGCATCATTCCCTAGGCCTGACATTTTTTATTGCTCCGTCCCTGTGACTGCAGCAAGCTTGGCCTACTGGGACTCAGCAGATCCTGCTCCCCTCAGCCTGGCAGCAGTTGACAGGAGTGGCAGCACACACCTCAGTACAGCATGCAGCTGTCATCCCTGAGACGATGGCAGGCACTCAGCAACTGGCAGACTGGAGGTGAGTCCTACTGGTGATTAGACATTTTCATTCAAACTTGTGTAGACTAATCGAAAGCTTCTTACCTGCCTGTCAAAAAACAGTACACAAGAACACACATTGGTTCACTACTTTTACCTTATGTCTTTGCTACAAAAATCACCACACACTTAATTGTTCTTGCATATTAAATGCCAGTTTCATTTAAAACTGAGAACAGTAGGCACTTTTTTACCAAAAGGGTGTAGGTATATGGAACCTGATATATTGGCTTCTTTAAAGAAATTTCTGAATAAGATCCTTGGATCTATTAGCTATTAACTACCAAACTAGATGGGTCAAATGTATTGTATTGCATTTGTAGGTTACCGTTATGAAGCAGAAAATGTAATCTGTATGGCATCAGTTTGACATCAGTTTTGACTCTGACATCAGTTTTTTTGGAAGGTGACTTTCATAAAGCATTAGATCATTTATGTAATGACTAAAACATAAATATTGAAAAGGCATTGTGCCTTTCAGTTAATAATCATAATATTTTTTTTGTCCATGGAATATAACATTTTATGTTTCATTTTACCAAATAGGTGTTAGAATTTTACAATACTGTCTGACAGACACAGGCATTTAGGTGGCCTTGTAAAAAAGATTTAAGTTCATGCACACTTACAGGCAGCTCTAGAATGTGCTACAGTGCATTTCACTGTCTTCTCTGTCTTCACTGGAGGGGACAAGGCAGACCTGTCTCTGGGGAGAAAGGGAGGCTTGGAAAAGTTACAGCAGAGTATCGGTTTATTTGAATCTAGAGAGCGACACTGTCCTGAGAGTACCGTTTACACAAGTGTCGCACTTCCTCTGCAGAGGTGCTTTAATACAGTTTTATCTTTTTTTTTCCTCTGGTTCTGCTGCCACCTAATGGCCAATGTGTATTTTGTTTGGTAAATTTGTTTTCTGGGTAAGAAAAAAACACAGAATTTTGACTGGATTTGAGTCCTAATATACATATATATTTAATCACATTTTTATAAACAACTAGCAATCTAGCCTGAAAAGCAGCAAATATACTTTCCGTGGTAAGCTCTTAAGATTGACTAGGAAACAGTTTGCAAAGTTTGTATGTACGGTAATGTGTGTAAAGTGATATTATGTATTTTAGGTGCTGAAAGTGGTCTTAATTAAAAAGGGTTAATGTTGAAAAATTGTATTTATTTAACAAATGAGCAGTATTTTAAAGTTTCCTGATATATGATCTCTCTGTTGTTCATTCAGAAATTCACATACCCATGGCAGCCATTATAACCCCATTATGCAGCAACCGGCCTTATTAGCTGGTCATGTGACCCTCCCCTCAACGCAGCCTTTGAATGTTGGAGTCGCCCATGTGATGAGACAACAGCCAACCAGCAGCACCTCTTCCAAAAAGAACAAACAACATCAGCTTTCAGCAAGGTATTTTCACCCTGTCTTAGCTTTGGCAGTTTACATAGATTAAATAGTTCAAAAATAATGGTAAGCACTATTTTACAGTCACTAGTCTGAGGTTTTGCCATGTCTAAAAAAATTGGCCTACATTGGCTGAGTGCCATTGGGGTTGAATGTGCTCTATACAGCTAGGATTCATTTGGCTTTTATAAGAATAACAATTTTTGGGACTTGCCCTGTCCTGAAACATACAGTAACATCTGTGAGAGGCACGTCTCTCCTCCAATCAGTACTTACTCTCCTGGATGCTGTTGTGGGGCTTCTGCTATATATAAAAGACTAATTACACTGGCAGTTGAGCACATCAACTACAAGAATTGTAGCTAATGCGTCGAACTGATAAGCAATTGGCAATTCCAAAGTGGGTGAGTATAAAATAGAAATTTAGATTAAATTTCGTTTTTTTAAAGGGAAACCACGGTACAAATTAATTGGTGGTATATAAACATTTTACAAATTTCAAATTAAGTACAAAATCATGAACTTTGTGAAAGTATTGTGTAAGTATTGTACTGTAAGTTGCCATGTTGTTGAAAACCCCTGGCCTCACCACAGGCAAGAGCGAGAGATCCCACAAATTGCAACGTGATGCAGCCCCTTCCTGCGCTCTAGTCACTTTAATGACTAATGTCATGTGATGTACGGGTGAATTAAGTACAGGTTATGCAACAGACATTTTACCACAGAAACTTTCCAACAAGATCTGCTTGCAGAGTTGCCATTTATTGACAAAACTGTCTTGATTTCGAAAGCAGTATTTTTTATTGGATTAAAATAGAAGAATTCACAAGCCTGCTCGTTTACAATGTAATAAGGCTGCTTCACGTCACCAGAAATTTTGATTGGCAAAATATGGTGTTGCGCATGCCTAAAAATGTAGTCTATGTTGTGATGTAAATTGGAGGTTTTACAAGTTACTTTGGAACGTTTTACGTTTAATGTGGTTTAAAATGCACTTACCAGTGGTGATTGTCACCTCGAAATATAAAAATAGCGTTGTTATCCCTGTTAAAGAATTATTACGACAAAAACATGGGTGGGGACAGCACTGCAATTACTCCTTGAAATATAACTAAGACTATTTATTTACTTGAGGTCATGGGAATCTGCTAAGCACAACTAGAATTAAGTGAGGTTTAAATAAAATTTACATAATTCGTTTATCAAACCGTTGTGGTCTCACTGTGTCCCCTCAGGAACATGTCGGCGTACGATGTGTCGTCTTCACAGGCAGTTGGCTCTCCACAGCGCTCAAAGCGAGTGAAGGAGAATACACCGCCCCGCTGCGCCATCGTCCAGACCGGTTCCTCAAACTGCACTGCATCTGTGGCATGCAGCTGGGGTGAGCCAGCATCCAGCACCACACGAGACCACCACCAGAGACAGACCATCGTCATCCCGGACACACCGAGCCCTGCTGTCAGTGTTATCACTATCAGCAGTGACACTGATGAGGAAGAAGACCAGAAGCAGGCCGCTACCAGGTGAGATATCACCAAAAAGTACAAGGTCCTTTTATTTCCTTGTAAAAGCTCAGAAAACAGTATTATAGTAATCTTCGGATTCTACTTTTTCTTGTGGTATCTGAGGAGAACATCACTAACACTTTCCAAAGTGCAGAAAAAAACAAAAACAAAAAGAATACCAACTGTGCCATTTTGGGAAGTAGCTAGAAATGACCTGTAAAAGTACATTGACCTATTATGTTAACTTTCTACCAGTCACACTGGTGATACATGACTTATGAATATAAAATATGAAGATTGCAATCAAATTTGAAAGAAATGAAGAATTGAGATAGAATGCGCTCCTGTCTTTGCAGCACAATGTCCAAACAGAGGAAGAATGTCATTAGCTGTGTCACAGTGCATGATTCCCCGGACTCCGACTCCTCCAGTAACAACAGCCCCTATGCTGTAGAGCACCGCTCTGGCTTTGCCAATGGAAATGCTTTTGACTCAAAGGGAACACTGGACAACCACTGCAATGGCAACCCTCGCACCATAATCATACCACCACTCAAAACCCAGTCAAGTGAAGTTTTGACTGAATGTGAACGGCTTGTACCAGGTACTGCATTTTATCTGTGTTGTCATGTTTGCAGTTCCTATGAGTTCATGTAATTTATTTTTCACAGGGAAGATGTTTACCTAGGAAAATTAATGTCATGTCAATATACTGTATAGGTTTTGCACAAAATAATGGAAACACCCAGAAATATATGAATATTTATTAATAAGAAGTTGAGCTACCCTTTGCCTTCAGAAAAGCTTCAGTCCTTCTTGGAATACTGTTATACAAGTTTTGAACTATTGAACATTCTTCAAGAAGGAAACTACTCCACACTCTGCTGTATGTTCCATACCGAATCTGACCCACTGACTCCTATGAGATGCCTGCCCATACCATAACATCATCATGTTTAAAAGTTGGTAACGCGTAGTGTGGGTTGAAAGCTTTCTTTGGCTTTCTAAACATAAACCTTTCCAGTATATGCACTTAAGGAGTAAAAGACAACTCATCCAACCATATAATTTTATTCTGCTGCACCAAAGTCCAGGTTTAATGCTGATTATGCAAGATTATGCATTGCTGTGCATTGATCTTGGTTATATGTGGTTTCAGAATGGCAACCCTACTATAAATATCAGCTTTGTGATGTACACTCCATACAATTTCTGCTGAGATAATTTTTGACTCCATTGCTTTGTGGTTTGACAGTAAATATCCTATTAAGTGTCAGTCTATCCCAGTCAATAAGCTTTGACTTGAAAACACTGTTCTTCTTACCTGAAGCTGTTTTTCCTTTTCCTGGCATATGCTGTCGTTATGTTCAACACTGTTCCCCTTGAAACATTAAATAATTTTGAGATTCTGTGATTGATACACCTGCATTTCAGGCACCAATTGTTTGACCTCTTTCAAAATGTGTTAGATCTCTCGTGTTTCTTTAGAAACTTGCATTTTAAAGTATTGATTTCAAGATGTCTTTTATAACGGAAACATATTGGTGATCAGTATTGAAATTATGTGAAGCACACATAGAATCCTTTTTAATTGTAATTTAGTTACTTCAAAATATGAGTCCTTTTTCATTAGGTGTTTCCATTATTTCGTCTACCTGTATATTAAAGTCTGTGTAAGGCTTGTCTTAAATATTTGTCATGGGAAAATTATATACAAATTAATTCTTCTTCCTTGAGAATTTCCTTTTAAAAGAGTGGTTCTCATCTGTTTCAGACACAAGTGTTCATCAGTCTTCATCATACAAATCCAAAACATCCAGCACAGTGGTTCCTGCCAACAGTCACTCCTCAGGGAGCTTGGCTGGGGGCGTCACCTATAGGCAGCAGAGAGCCGGGACACATTCTTTCCAGCAACAGCCACTGAACCTCAGCCAGGTATGGACAAACATATACAACCACATACTTCACAACCACAGTGGCACAAGCTACTTATAACCATCCCACGGTAAATTGGAGGTGTTTACTGCATGAAAGCATAAACATAAACTAACAGTGTAATTGCTAGACAAATCCAAATTTAATTATCCTTTTTATTTTCTATAATACCATCCATCCACCCATTTTATAACTGCTTCATCCACTACATCCACTACTCACTCACAGGAGGGCCAGTTCATATCCTGGCAAGCACTGGACACATGTCCACTGCAAGGCACATACAGATAGACACACACAAATTCACACTAGGGCCAATTTCCTCAGAAGCCAGTTAACCTACTGGGAGGAAATCAGAGTAAAACCAGAGGAAACCCGCACAAACATGTTGAGACTATACAAACTCAACACAGATAGCACCCCAGGTCTGGAATTGAACACAGGGCTCCAGATAACCTGTGAAACATGTTACTAGGTACTGCCAGTTTATCTTGGGTGAATAATAGCAATTGTGATTTCTTTCAGTTGCTGCACATACTGCATTGTTTTGTACTGCAGCAGAAATAAACTTGAAATTGAAATTCTGTGTCCCTTAGGACCTGTGCCCTCTCTATAAATGTGTTATTAACATTAGAAAGAGAAACTTGCTCTGTTCAAATCTGGATCAAAGATCTTGATCAAGGGCCATCAAACATATGGCCCTCAGATTGGATCATAGCAAAATGGGCATTATAATTTTGTTAGAGAAGAAAATAAAAGTAAAGAATGTTGTGTGGTCCAGGAGAAGTGAAGAAGTTATGTTTCTTCATAAAATCAAAAGCTGACTTGCTTGATTTGCATGACTTACCAAAGTGTAATAATAAAGGTAGTAGAAGTGAATTTATTTGAGTGGGGAGCTGCAAATTGATAAGTAAAGGTTAATTTCACCATGAAAACTTTATTATGTCAAATTAAAGCCAGCAAATTTATATATACTATTATTTTTTATTATATTGTCCATTTAAATAACTATAACATGCCTTTTGCATGTTCTTTCCAGTTAAAAACACTAAAACTATGCAGAATATGAAACCTGCTGAATCGCTTTTTCACTTTTCATCACAGGTGTTGTGTTAATTTTATCAGATCCGTGGTCTAGAAATGGTCTAGACCGTGGTCTATGGCCCTTATTGCAGCTCCCCGTGCTGTCACACTTCAGTTACATAACCACCTCATGATCAACAACCTTTTCGAACCCCTCCAATCTGGCTTCCGTCAACTTCACAGCACAGAAACCGCCCTAGTCAAAGTCACCAACGATCTCCTAATAGCTTCTGATTCT